ATAGTAAAATAAGAGAATGATACATAATTGAACTGATGATTCAATGATATACCAAACCCTCTCAGCTAAGAATATCATTAAAGTTTGTGTTTTTAGTCTCTAAACAATACAATCTGCATGCATGCCGCGGTCATAACTTATGCAGCTCTTGCACTTTTCTGTCTTCCCCTGAGTTTGTAAAATAACACTACAGTACTCCTTTATGCCCCCCCCCCCCATTCCCCCTTTACCTCACCCTCTCATCCACCACTTAGCTCCACTTCCACACCTCATGAAACTTTCATTACAGAGCATGCAACTTCATGCGTCCAATCACCAACTCCCCCAACTGTGGCGGGCCCTCCGCCTGTTGTCACACTTTAAACCCCCTACCACTTAACAGACGGGGTTAATTGACCTTGTAAATATGGTGGGACGTGTATGTTGAGCATAAAATTGAGAAAGGGGGAAAAAAATTATCATTTCCCCCTTTCTTATTCCCTTTCATTATCCCCCTCCACCATGCAGTAAAGGAGTCCTATACCTTTCACTGTCTCAGCCTTGTAGGGTTTTCCATAGTAGGGGACGTAGTTGAATCCAGCCATGCCGTGAATGGTCGCGATCAGTCAAGCCACGCTGGCACGCTAGAGGTAAAGTTGTACCTTGATGACATGTTGGAGGTGTGCTAGTCACAAACCATAGTAAGTTCCTGTCACCTGTTTGTACTATTCCTTCCTGCAATATTTAAAACGGATCTACTAACCAAATACTGTAAAATATGTCCATATGTGGTTGATTAGACCTGTTTTTATCGAAGAATACTGCTTATTCACAGTCAGTGGAAGGCTTTTAATGTGAAGCAGCAACAGCAGGTGAGATTCACTTTGCACGAGGAGTAAGTTGACACAGCCCCAACACGACTCGGTAAACAGTAAAATAAGGCTGATATGTGAATGTACAAACAGGAACACAGGAGACTACGGTAGCAGCTACAAAATTACAGAAAGCTGAACACAGAGAGGCTTTTAAAGTCCACAGCACAGACACACAGGAGTTTAGCTGGTGAGGGGTTGGGCGTCGTCAGTCCTGCCACCAAGCAGGACCACAGCGGCGTTGCGCGGCACTGCACGGCTATCCCCTGCTCCGTATGAGGCACTAGTGGAAATGTATGTCATCACGGTTTGGCATCGACTCAGGCCTATGGAAAAACCCTATTGGATTGTCCTTTTCTGGATCATGACAGCTTGACCTGCTGCTGTGACTGCAGAACAATCAATACACTACTACACTGACAGTAATGCATAAAAATGAACGCCAATTATGTTAGAATAAAGGGTCAGTTCACATAAATAATAATAAATCTAGTGTTTTGAAGCCATGTAGTTTTGGAGGTATCTGTACTGAGATTTCTGTGCCTGACACAATAAAATGGGGTCCACTGTCAACAGTTTTTATTAGAAAAACTTTCTACTAAAGAAGTGGTCCCAATTTAAAACTACTAGCATCATGTTCATAATGAACATCCATCTTTGAAATCTCAAAGATGGATGTCAAACTTAAAACCATTAATCACTTAATTGGTTGGTTGATCCACTGAATAGAAAGCAGTTATTTTAATAATCAATTCATGGTTAAAGTAATTTAGACATTTTAGGTAAAAATGCTGCTTTTCCTATGATAAATTGAATATCTTCTGAGTTTGGACTGAGGCTCTCTGATTTTTCATTAAATCAGATGAATCAATATTGAAAATAATTGTTAGCAACCTAAGCAGATAAAACCAAAACTGCATGATTAGATGGCACTAGAGATGTTTTCTGTAATTTGAGTGAACTGACGCTTTACCAGTAGAATATAGCTGGAGAGGGTCGAGTAATTTGGGGGTTATGTCTCTGTTGGTGTTAATGGTACTAATTTATTTGGTCTTCCTTGTTGTGCATGGTAACTGTCTGTTATTTGTGTCATTTGTACATGTTCTGTATGCCAAAACTGTGATGTTCTGTGTTTGCTCTGTGTTTGTGTTTTTGTCCTCTGCATATCGCCCTTCGACCCCTGGTGGGTTTGGGGGCCAGTTCATGATCTGACTGTGATGCTATAACACTATTGGCTTACAGTGGTGCTGCTCTTCTTCTTTAACACTGCTTGCCCCTCCTACCGGACCTCTACTACCAACCCTGCTGCTGCTCTGTCTCTTGGGCTCTGCCCCTTGTAGCCGTCAGGCAATGTATGGGTGACCCATGAGGAGATGGAGACCATGGCAGCCCCTTCCAAAACGGTCAGTCCCCTTGTGTCCTTTACCGTCACCCTTTTCTTTCTCTGTCAGTCATGTGTGTCTGGGTGTGGATATCGGAGGAAGAGAGTTCTGGGTGTTGACTGATGGAGAAGGCATGCATCATTTAACCCCGTTCCTGGTCTGTGCACCTCTTATTAACACTAATTTAGAAACTGGATTTTAGTCGAAGGAGCCTTCGTCAATGATGCTGGTCTTTAATTATATACAAGCTATGCATGTTTAGCCTGAAGCCTTGTTGTTGCTGATGATGGCTCAGTGAGGGCTTGAGTCGCTTTTCACTGCAGTTCAGACTGTTTATTCCTGTGATAGTGTGACTGAAACACCACACAAAACTAACTGGATAGTTATTTTCGCTTCCTGAAATTTGCACATCAGTGAGTCAGACTGATGAAGCTGGATGTGAAATGCAGCATTTGTATCCAAAAGAACTCTTTTATCTCATGCAGAACTAAAGACAGACTTCTAGAGATCTGATGTGCAGTGAGATTTGAAGCTCTACATCATTGTCAGACTGTTTCAAGCTCTGGGCGAGTATTTGTGGCCATGTGGTACGCAGGTTTTTCATTATGTGTCATAGAATAAAGGTGATAAATTGTGATCATCACATCACATTTTAATAAGTAGAATAAATAACTGGATTAACTCCATCAGTGCTTTCATACCATTGAAATACAAAATGTTAATTATTTCAGTTTCACAAGACTTACTCCATATATTGACTATTACCCCATAAAACATTGTTCCCAAAAGCAAGAATATATTCTACACATCACAACAGATGTGCTTTATCTCCTATCTGGCTTCAGGGCCTACACAGCTAAAAGCCAGTCTTAGACCATTATACCATACCAGCATGTTAGACCATTAGTATCCTTTTTCCAATCTAAATACAAACTGTCAGGACACATCAGGACACATCTCCCCCTGGAGAAAAAAATCACATGCCATTTAGATTTGAGCTTGCTCAGCAGTAACTCCCGCACCTTTTACCATGTCTTGAAAGCTAGCTAATAGTTCATGATTTGTCGAAATGTAGCAGAGGTTTGGCTTTCTCTTAGGTCACGGTTACACACGCACAAATGCATTGTCTGCCAAGGTGAACGCACACTTTCAACCACACACACTTCTTTGCTATTGGTTGAGGCTGTGACTTCGCCAAACGTGAACTCCCGGCAAAGCGCAGATGCAAATTCGAGCATGTGTGACCGTACACATGGATGTGGCAGCACAACAGGCAAACATAGCTTTGGGTAACAAAAAACATATTTAGCAGGACCTATTGACACTTAGTTGTAAGAGTGGCAAATAAAAAACAGCTACAGTAAATCATTATTAGCATTCAGTTGGGTTTAGCATTACTTGCCAGCTGCATTTAAGGGACATTTTGGGTGCAGCTGCAGGATTTGCTATAGAACAATCAGATGACAGTAGATCTTCATTTTCTCTCATAAGTACATTCTTTTCCTTGTGTTTCAATCAGAAGTCACAATCTGAAGAGGGGAGCTGGGCACAGGTAAGGAGAAACCCTGCTGCTGCTGTTTATTAGATTAAATGTCACATCCAATATGAAAACATATCCAGTAAAAGATCTGTCTCTTTTTTCTGAGGTTCTGAATGAACAGAAGGTAGAGTGTACTGACTTATGTCTTTTCTGTCAGACTCTAGCTTATGGTGACATGAACCATGAGTGGATAGGGAATGAGTGGCTGCCCAGTCTAGGACTACCTCAGTACCGCAGCTACTTCATGGAGTGCCTGGTGGACGCACGCATGCTGGACCACCTCACCAAGAAGGACCTGAGGGTGCACCTCAAAATGGTGGACAGCTTCCACAGGTACTGGACTCATCTTAGCGACCCCTATGTTGACCATCAGCAGAGAGAATTTGTAAAATGAATTCTTATAAAATAGTTCTACTTATTCATAATTTATTTTTTTATAGTTGTATACTTTTTTTTACTCCATCTCCTGACTGTGTATATGTGCGATTTTCTGACACCAGAACAAGTTTACAGTATGGAATCATGGGTCTGAAGAAGCTCAACTATGACAGGAAGGAACTGGAGAGACGCAGGGAGCACAGCCAGCATGAAATGAGAGGCAAGTGTAGCAAAATAAAACCATAATCAACGTCATAGTGAACCAAAGACAAGATGCTACAAATGAATAAAAGGAGTGAGCTTTAAGATGGGATTTCTGTATGTCTGCAGACGTACTGGTGTGGAGTAATGAGCGGGTCATCCGCTGGGTGCAGAGCATAGGCCTGAGAGACTACGCCAACATCCTGCTGGAAAGCGGTGTGCATGGAGCTCTGGTCGCCTTGGATGACAACTTTGACTACAGCAGTCTGGCGCTGCTCCTCCAGATCCCCAACCAAAACACTCAGGTACTCCAGCCACACAAACACAAACCACTAAAACTTTGCAAAGAAAATGTAAAGGTGTGTTGCCAAAAATGTTATGTCAACAACGTCTGGTCTAACTCTGAATATCACATCATAGTTTTCCACATTGGGTATGGAAACACCTCACTGTGAGGGGAATATTTGTAATCTTTTTAAGTTATTTTTTTTGGCATTGTGAAGCCAAATATAAAGGTGCTGAATATGGGCAAAAATATCATCTGTCACCACCTTCAGTCCAAAAGTAGAGGTACGTTGGTATCAGCCTTCAAAAAGCTGGTCGAATCTAAATCAGAACATGCAGATCTGCCAACTGTCACTCTGGCATGTTGCCCTGTGAATTTCCACTGCTCATCTCATCTATAATCAGGTAAAATGAATATGTAGCGCGAATAACGTAATGTGTCAGCTGCCTCTGATACCATTCCGCTAAAAATAGCTGGCCTTGTGCAAATTAGAATGTGTTTTGTTTTGTTTCCTGCAGGCACGTCAGATTCTGGAGCGAGAGTACAATAATCTGCTGGCGCTGGGCACCGACAGGAGACTGGATGAGGTGAGCTCAACTATTACCCAAAATAGTGACCTCATACTGCTATGAGGTGAAATGTAATGATAAACAAAGCTTGTTAGTCATTTCAGAGCACTTTCAACAATTACACCAAAATAAAGCTAAAAAATCGGGTTTCCTTTAGTGTGTAAATGAAGCTGCCACATCATTAATGCACAGAGAGCATAAAATGTGTATTTAAATGTCTCAGACTGACTGAATTTTCATAAATTTCTGAGCATGTGATCACAACACATCTATCCATGATTAAAGGGCCTTCACATCCTTTATTCTACACGTCCAGCCAGTATCACAGTTGTAAATAATTTTTGTCCAGTTTTAATTAAAGATGAATAAATTCAAAAATAATTTAGCTTCTCTCTTACAATACCATTTTTGGGTTTTGAAAACAGACATAGTAAACCCACAGTTAAATGTCAACAATACAAGTCTGCAAACTTGAAAGGGTTCAAAACATGCCAAGATGCTTTTTTTATTAGTGATTTTATTTAATTTTTTTGTGCTTTGAAGTTTTTTGCCTGTCATTCCTTCCAATAACAAAACTAAAGTGAATGTTATTATTCTGTCCATCTGTGCGACGACAAGGATTTCCATGGTCCGTCATGGAGGAGGCAGTTCCCGCCCCGAGACGTTCACGGTATAAGTATGATGCCCGGATCAGCAGAAACGCTCCCTGCTGGATTCCGTCTCACCACAACGTCTGGTCACTCCCGGAGACTGCCCCCCGAGGGTAAGTGCCTTATGCACCTTATCTCACACCTCTATTCGCCCATTGGCAGATTATTTTCTGAAAAGTGGCTTTCAAAGGCAAAGGTTAAACCCAAGCACCACACCTGAGCGCAGGAGTTGCTGCTCTTTGCTGTGTTGTGACCATGTCTCTTGTTCTCTCTGACTCTGTGACGGCTGCTCTGCAGTCCTCTATGAGGCGCTGGATGACAGTCCTGACGACATGTATTTGGATTGGTTTCAAGGTCAGCTATGCCCCTCTGAAGGTCCTGGGCTTGTTGGCCCTGCGTGTATTATTACTCTACATATACTCCCTCCTCTTCACACAGTCTGCCAACCACTGTCCTGCTGTTATCTCTCCTTTTCTTTGTGGTCTCTCACCCTTGCGCCTCTCTCTCTCTTGAATCTCTCTCTCTCTACTACTCTTAAATCTCTCTGCTATCCAGCTCCAAGGGTATTGTTTTGCAGAGTTGCAAAATAGTTCTTAAGTCACCCTGGTGGTAAAAGCTAGGGGGTCAAGTTATGGATTAGGACCCATGCTTGCTGTGTAACCCTTGAAGTTACAGCAATAAAGCAGCAAAACAAAAGGTGGCTGAGCGGTGCTATGTAAGTTGGCCTGAATCAGGAGGTTTACATAGGCAATAGTACGTCTTGGATGTCTCAAGAACTCAAACTGACAGTTTGTGTCATTCCTCATCCCTCTGGTGTTGAAGAGGACACTGGCTGAAATAGGCTTTCGTTGAAGGATAATTCTGGGTTATTACAACTTGGTTTTGTAGTTTTGGCCATCATTTCAATTTGTTCTGATAATGTTCTTTAAGTAGTTGCTGAGGTCTGGGAATGCAGCAACATATGTTCAACATACTCTGACTGGTTGTAAAGAATTTAAATGAGCAAATTATCTAGACTACTTCATTTAAATGCAAAACTGAAAGAAAACTCGGACAAAACTTAGTTTGGACAGAAATGTTTGGCTAACCAGCAGATCCATTCAAAAACTATATCTAGTACCAATTGGAACGATGGCCAAAACTGCTCAAATAAGATTTAAATTTGCAAAACATCAACTCAGGGCTTACTTGCTCACTCATTCTGGAGCTTTCAACTGTAGTACAGTCTTAATTAGTAGATTTAGTTTGCTCAGCTTGTCTCGGAACTGTACATGTTCAAACTTTCACTTTCAAAGTTTGAATACTCCACTATATGACAACTGAGCACACAAAATCTGCTGATAATGACAGTGATACAGACAAAAGCGCCTCATAAGTAAATAAGTGGTCCTTAAATTGATTCAACTTTTGTTTCCAGGTCAGGAATGAACAGTGAAGCTCAACATCCAATTTGTAACGACCTTGAAATTATCCTTTTAAAAGGATGCGGAGTGTATCAGCAACTGTGTCTTTACTAAATGCCACCAAAGTTGTTAATACATGACTGGAAATCATCCGTCTGCACTGGCCAGTGTTCTCCTCTAACAAGTTGTTCCCAGTGACACTGAAACAGCCTTCCTGTGTTCCTCTGTCTCTATTCTCTGTACTCCCTGGTCTGTGACGTCCACAATACACTCAAATCCTGTTGCTGGTGTTATCCACTCAAAATTAAAACTTCCTTTGAGTGCGTGATACATGGCTTTCTCCTCTGAGGGTGACTCTACAAGTAATCTCTGTTGTGTGAGGAAAGTGTTTTGCTTGTGATCTCACTCATACCGTGTAAAGGACATCTAATCTTGTGGCACATGTCTGTGGAGGAATGTTTCCTTCTCACTCTGGGTCCATCTGATAAAGAGAAAGCTTTAATATTTACACTCAAAGATCGTTCTCTCTTGCTGTCTCCCCCTACAGTCGGACCCTCTGCGGTGCAGCGGCTGGACAGCTCCACGGTGAGAACCTACTCCTGCTGAGGGGAGGAAGAGAGGCACCTTAAACTGTACCCTGTATGTAACACAACACAGATTCTAGCTCTGTCAAATACACAGCTTTCCTCAGAAGTACTTAAAAAAGATATTGGATAAAAGAGAAGAGGGCCAATTGTTTCCCAAGATAAGCGTGTTTGTCGCATCAGCTTGGCGAGCCACTGCTGTGTTTTTGCCAGGTAGTTGTGATAAGGTGATAAAAGACAGCAGGGCTAGCAGCCAGCCATGGTCTCATACGGACATCTTCCCTTTAATGTCTGTCCAAAAAATGATGAGTTAGACACGACCGAGCTTTAGAAATCTGCTTCAAATAAACGAGGAGTTCTGTACCTTACAAAGAGATTAGTTAACAAAGTTAGTTTACGTGATTATGATTGTTCGAGGCTCCTAAAAATAGTCCCTGTGAGACTTTACAGATTACAAAGTGAGCTTGCCCTAGTTTCCTTTCCAACTGTTTCCTTTGTACTGCCAGGTGCAGTGAAAAAGTGTAATTTCTCATAAGTACTTGTTTTGATTTTGATATCTGACTACGCCGTCTCTCTGCTTCACAATTGAAAAGGAAACCAGATGCAAAAGCAAGCTGCAAAGATAACAGTGAGTTCTGCTTTGGATGTTCAGCATGAAAAGTCCAGGTGGACATGAGACTGTCGACTGTGTACAAAATGACTTCCTTGTTAACCCATTCACTGCTCCCTATACAAACGGCATGGTTAACTGTACAGTGAGCAGTGAACTGAGATTTTAGACATTTCTAAATGGTCACATTGCATCATCACTGACAGTTGTATTACAGAGCATTGCATTTTAGGATTGTTAGCAGAGAATGGTGAATATGAAAGTCTTATTTGTAACAAGGTAAGGCACTGAACTTTTCTTACAACTTGAAATGTAGATTGTATTTACACAGAAAGTCAAATGACAAACCCCACTCAAAAATATTATTCAATTCAAATTCAAGTCTCAAACTTTACTTTAAAGAGCACCAGCCTGTTCTATCCCTAATCTATGCCAATAGAAAGAACATGCAAATGTGCATCTGACAGAGAAGCTATTTTGATACAAGATAACTTCAAAAATTCATCAAAATCTCTCACCATACACTTGCACAGTGACACAGGTCTGTAGGCTGCCATAGGTACATTTATTGGTTAAGGCATCTGGCTGCATTGAGCCCATTTTAAGTCCTGCACCAGTATCATTATTGTACTGTATTGTATTGTGCTGAGGTTAGAGGCACAGTAGACAGCTAATAATGATAAAATGCTGTGACTGCAGGGTTATCATATAAGATAAGAGTGTTAGGAAAATAAATAAAACAACAGCTAAGGGGAGAGATAAAGTGGAGTAAAAGCAGAGCAGAAGGGGTTCTATTCAGTGGGGAAAAGTGTGTGCAAGGTACACCTTCATAACCATAAATTTTATGTTTCCAAAGAATTTGCTCATCCCATTGAACACCCTGTGGGCTGTTTCTAATGCTTTCATCAGCTTATTTTTTTATAAGTACTCCCACGCAGCAAAAAAGACAGAATACAGTGCAAAGTTCAGGGAGAGCAAAGGGGTTGAATTCTGGTACAGTACATGTGCATAAGAAACTAAATCTGATTCTATTTAACTATTTGTTTACGGTTGTATTACGGACTCACCCTCAGCTGCTGACTGTATTTACAGTTTTCCACTGCTTCGAGACGTCGGCACCAAAAACAAATGCATATAAGATTTCCATAGAGGTACCCAAAAAAAAACTCTCTTCAGACTCCGATTTTTAAGATTATGTTTGCACAGGTATGTACTTAAACATATAGAAAATCACAGTATAGGGTTATAGGATGTAACTATACACACACCAAGGTGAAAATTTTGAATATGCAGTACGTGTTTCTGAAAATATGTGATCCATCTTGTTTAGGGATGCTGAAAGGAAGGTCAAAAATTACTTTACACATACTTCCAAAGTCACCTTTCCAGCTTCAAATCGTAATGAGCTGTGATTCAGTTTTTTTCCACCTTCTTTTTAGAAACCTCCCCAGTTTTGAGCTTTTCATACAACACCCCATTAAAAACTACTCATTCTGTTTTTCTTCAGGTACAGTTCTGAATGGAGATTAACTAGGGGAGCTGCTGGATAGGCCAACCTGCCGAGGAACAAACCATTCTGACGACATGCACTGCCAAGAAGCCCTGCTCTCTCTCCTCTCCTCTCTGACCCCCTTTCCCGACCCTCCTCCCCGCCCCCATAACGTGGGCACCAGATGCCGGTGCTAAACTGTCCTGCAGGCTACCCTGTTGTCACCATTTCTACCTTTTACATGTACAGTAACTTGTCAAAGCATAACGTACTGTGTATTTCTTCTACAGGAGATGTGTAGGTTATCTGTACATAAATATGCCATTTTTTAATATATACACACATCTATGTATAAAAAGATATTCAGAGTTTGTGCAAAAAAATGTCCCTGCCACCTCATTTAGTGGACCATAGATTAATATATGCTGCTCTTAAACTGTCTCCATATTACCCCCTCCCCTCTAGATCATTTTGTACATATGGTTTTATTTTTTCATTGTGCTGATGATGAACCTGTGCTGCACCATAGAGAGAGGAAGAGACTGGATGGATGTTGTGTGAAAATCTGCCCTCTAGTGGTGTACACAAACCACTCTGAGCCCCATTTCTGGCACCAACAAACTTCATAATCCTTTCTTATGGACTCGCTGTCATAAAAAGGAGCATTTTAAGAGGACACGTCGACGCACTGGAACGACATGACAAGCACTTTGATACAACCGCATCAACTCAATGGACTATTCAGTAGCCAAGGACAAACCAAGAGATGCCATCGCTCTCTGAAGTTGCACAAAAACTTCTTCTCAGAGAACAAAAGAAGCAGGACGTCGTTCATAGAACCTGTCACTTGTTGTACTGTATGTTTTGTCAGGCGATACATTAACACAAAAGGACAACTACACACTCAGCCAAGCTGGCCTTCTACCCAACTCCTCAGACACTATGTTAACAGAACAGTGGAAATAACTGAAAGACAGACTGCTTTAGCTCATAGTGTGTGCGTAGAGTGTATATGACCATGTTGAAGTGAGGTGACTTTTAATGACAAAAACCTGTTGCTTGCCGTGACTTACATTGGTGTAACTGTTAACTCTTTGTTTCTGTCAGAGTTTCCAGGGCAACCTATTGTACAGCCCTGTTATCTGTCTTTTAGTTATTTCTGACGGACGACTCCAACAAGTCTTACGCTTTTAATTTGTTTTTACATCTTCAATTTGCACGAACAATGAATCATTTTATTTTGTGTCCATTTTTTTAATTTATTCTTGTACTTTGGTCAAAACTAAGTGGTGAGCAAGCAAATTTTCATTGTCAATAAAAAAAACTACTGTCAGTGAACGAGTTGTCTTCATAAGGATTATAGCTTGATCGTCATTATGTCTACAGTACATGTACATTGCCTCTGTTTATTAATTATAAATGTGCCAAGCCTGTAGTGCAGTACAGGTTCACATTAGTATTCAGATTACATACAAATAGAGCGTTAATTTCACTGTTACAAATGGAAAAATGTACCCTTCTTCATAGAGTAAGTGGAGTCAATGTCTACCTCCAGCTTGACTTAGAAAAAGAATAATAATCATTAATTTTACTTCTACTTTTAGTTCACAGTTCATCCCCAGTGCTGCAAAAACTGCCTGGGGCCAAATTTATCCAACCTCAGTTTTTCTTTGTCTTCCAACAGATGAGTTCAGGATGCCCGAGGGCCCAGGACTTTTTCTACCTGCCGCTCGATGTCTTTGAACACTTCTGGGTCCTCGATGGTTGGAGTGATCTGTGGGGGAAAAAAGTTCCTTTAAAATTCTACTGGCAAAGCTAATTTAAAAACAATAAAATATTAACGTGGTAGAACCTGCTGATTAAAATGTAATTAAAGCAATTTTTGGACGATTAGCAAAGTCAGTTATGCTTAAATAATTGCACTCTACAATGCAGACATTGTTTAATTCTTTCATTCAGATAACTTTTTTCAGGTTTTATGGCTGTATCCATGGCAACCATGTATGTAAACAGAAAGTATGGTTTTCTCAGTTTGTCATCAGCTTCTCTCTTGAGGCCTTTAGCACCTGATCAGCAGAAAACTGAGTCAGTAACTATAAACAGATGAAATCTCAAATGAGCCCTCAGTTCTATTTAATGAGTGCGGGGCCTGCTAATGCAAAACCATTACTCAAATTCTGAATTGCAAAATGAGCTTTACAGTCTCCTGAGCGGCTGTAAATCTTTGCACAAGGGACGGAAAAAAGAAAGTAAGTGTAAACAATTTCCCCTTACCCATTTTATCCTGTTGTACCTAACTTTTAAATTAAAAGGGTTAAGGGTTACCTAAAATTAGAGAGGGGAATAATGCACAAAATATTTCCCTGAGAGTTGTGTCGTACCTTGTAGGGCTTGCTGTTGACCAGGTTGGCTAAAGAGGAGCGAGGGATCTTGCCAGAGCGTGTCTTAGGCAAACCTCGGACAAAAAGCACTTTCCTAAAGGCAGCCACTGGTCCAACGGTGTCTCTCACAAGCTTCACCATCTCATTTACGATCTCCTCTTCAGTTTTCTGCACACCTGAGACAGACAGCACATGTTCTTTTAATGCCATCTGGAATTTAACTTTGGATATGGTCTCCATTTTTTTGATACGGATACCCAAGGAGTTGTAACTTTTGTGACTACTTTACTACTGCTATACTATACATGTGTCATGCCTCACCATTTTTGAGTACACACAGGGCCAAGGGAACAACACCCTTCAGCGTGTCCTCTAGACCGACCACAGCACAGTCCCCGACTGCAGGATGCAGCAGCACTGACTGCAAAGCACACACATACATACATTAGAATATCACCAAGAAGAGTTCAGAAAATCTTTTTATCACCTTCTCTGTAATCGTTTTCCTACCTCCTCCAATGCCCCAGCAGATAGCCTGTGGCCGGCCACGTTGATGACATCATCAGACCGTGACATGATATAAAGGAAACCCTCCTCGTCCACAAAACCTGCATCCATGGTGTCATAGTAACCCTGAGGTGGAACAGCAAGGAATGACTACACTTTTTTTGTCATTAGGGGTTGTTTTTGTTGAGGTTTTGTTTCAATTCTTTCATTCAAACCTCACAATGGCTGCAAAAAGTGGTCCTGTAATGAAAGATATTACCACTAGAGGGCCACATTTTATCAAATACTCATCACCACCCACTCTACTACATTATTAATCCAGCATCATAAAAAGAAAATTGAACAGAACAAATACAAATGTTCTTGGATAAATTCAAGTTTTTCTCTCATTTCAATAAATCAGACAGCTGGGTTTCATGTCGATAAACATCGCAATGTAAGGAAATAATGACACATCTTACTGGAAACTTAGAGAAGTAGAGCTTCTTGAACAGATCACAGTTCTGCCACAGTGACAACGCTGCACCAGGTGGTAAAGGTAGCCTTGAGGAAAAAGATGTAAAAAAAATAATTTTAGCTCTATTCCAATATCTCTCTTTAACACTTTGCTTCTGAAATAAAAAAACAAAGATGACTCTACAAGTCAAATAAAAAAATACATTAAGCTTCAGATTTGGTTGAATGTCCTTTAAGATTTGAATCATTTTAAATTCAGTGAGCATTAAGAGCAGTCCATCCGATTTTACCTAATAAAACTACAATGATGTGTGAAGATGGATAACAGTCTAGAGACACAGCCAGACTCTGCTAGATTTAGCCTTGTCTGATACACACACAGACAGCAGATAGCAGAGCTCTGTCTCTCAGTCTTTGTTTATCCAGAGACTACCAGTAATCCCCCATCTTGACCAAGGTCTTGACCAGATGATCCCATTTCCCAAGTCTGAACCCTAAACATGCCTCTGCATAGATTCATTTCACTACAAGGAGAATATTCAAACACACCAGAAATCTCCTTCAGACTATGGCTGCCTGCTTCTCATATTAAGAGTCTGTCAAACTGGTGAGCCCTTCCTATGCATAAAATCTACACTGGAAATCATAAGATGTATAACAAAAGCAAAATAATATCTTGACAAACACAGTCCTTAGAAGCCATAACACATTATAACAACCTTACTCTGTAAATACTGAATATGATTTTATAAAGCTGTGTATATAGCTTTTGATCAAACAAAGGGGAACACAGACTTTCTGGCTACAATCAGGAAGTACAGCTGTTCCCGTCTGTTTACAGCTCTACCTGTCGTCATCCCTGGGTGCACTGTACATGTGAATTCCTTGGAAATCCCCCTTGTTTGGCGCCGAGTCAATACCAATAGTAGCAAAGAACAGGGGAATGGAGTTGGAGAGTGATAACAGATAGGTAGCAGACTGGAAGATAAGACAGCACAAAAGGCTGCTGGAGCTTTTGATGAAGTCCACTTTGCACAACAAGCTCTCTTACACAAACGGACACACGTTTTATTCTCCAACCCTGGCAACAGACTGGAGTGAGGTTCTTTGGAGTCGGATACAAGCTGCCTAACGGTGAACTATTAAGATTAATGACTAAAAGACTCATCCCAATGAACATTGAACAAGGCTTTGTTACATTTTAGATGTGTGTACATGTGTGAATGACTAAGCCACTCATATGGCTGTGAACATAACCACTCAGCTTACCTCACCACAATATTTCCCAGGGTTCTTGGCTCTACCTCCTGCATGTCATCATCGATCACTGTGACTAGTGGAAAGGGAGAAGCACGAAATTCATATTCAGAGGCGGTCATCACCTACTGGCAAACTGGAGCAGCAATACTATTAAATACTCTGCAGGGAATTGCAAGCAGTTGCTAAGTTTTATCCATTTCTGCTATAGTTTATCTGTATCTGTAATTGAGGGGCAGCAATTTTGACTTACATTAAAATAATGAAAGTAAAATGAAATTACAAAATATAGAAATACACTTAAAAGAAATGAGTAGGAATGGTTGGTTTGTGTTGTGTGTACTGTACCTGGAATGTGGATCGACAGTTCTGACTCTTACCATTGTAACCTGGAACAGGTTTGCCAGCCTGACCTGCAGGTGGCGTGAGTGAGTTCCCCAGCCCAATACATGAGGAGGTGATGGCAGAGCCAGTTTCTGATGAGAGAGACACAGAAAAAAGAGGTACATGAAGACTATGATCCGTGTGGGAGAGTAATAACATTTCAGTCAAAACACGAGCACTGGATCTGTGGTGTAACGCTACAGTTTTGACACAACCTCATGGTTGTCTGGCTTTTCTTCTCTCTATGCAAATGTTCAACCTAATGGTGGGCTGATCAAAATAGCATGTGTGGTTGCATTGCTTCTGTGAGAGGCATTAACCTACATAATAAAAAACTATGACAGCTCCTATGGGCTCTCCATGACTCTGCCAACCCACAGTGCTCCACTTACAGCAAAGACTTGCTTGTGTGTCAAAGCCCACCCAGAGAATGAGTAACAGAATCGATTCAGCTCAGTAAGCAAGATTACAGGAGAAATCACACAGCAGCAGAACAGCCCAAGCTCAGCATCTGTCTTCCATGTTACACAGAAATTTGAAAACACTTTACAGTCACTGGGTGGTCGTCGGTTTCTCTGCTTAATACAAAGATGCAGCCGAATGCTTCCATCTACCCGTCATGTTTTCCTCCCAAGCAAAGAGTTTATTTACCTCAGCCGGAGCTCAACTAACGTGCACACAACAGGTGATAGACAACACAAAATAACATTCAACACAATGGATTATTTTCTACTGTATATGTACATAATCTGCCTGTTTGCTTATGTTTTTCGACTATCTGTAGGATCATGCCATTTGCACAAATCAATCTTACAAACAGGACTCAGAGCTTCACTGGCTGTCCAATTAAACATTACATCAGACATGTGACTATGTTTCAGAAACAGTAAGCCCTTTGGCTTTTTGACACTAATAGCGTTAAAACAAGAGGCGGATAAATTATCTAATGTGCTGCCATTTATCTTCACTGACATGCAAATCTATGCACAAGCTGTTCCAAAAGGTAATCAGATATCATCGACCCTATAGGGACTGCATGCGGTGTAAATATGATGTTTTTGTCATGTATTGTTTTTGAGATATTGTGGCCACGAGTGTCATGGCATTTTCCCCTGTTAATATGCAGATTTATGCAGCAAGGTGCACTAAAACCGAATCAGATCAGTCATTGCACAGGGAGGGAAGTAAACAGTTTCAATCATGTACCCTCCTAAAATATGCAGTCAGCGGCTGTGCCGATGGCAGAAGTGACTTGTCTTCTGAGAGGGCAAAGGCGAATGGCAAAAGCTTCAAGCTAGCAGGCCAGCTATGCAAATGACAGCTCAGTCAATATGACAAAAAGGCATCTTAAGACTCCTCATTAAACCTTGAGGGAGAGCTAAGGCAACAGATGACTGGGGCTGGGTAACCAGGGTTACACAACTGTCAAATACAGACAGAAAGACTGAGCTGTAATGAGAAACGAGCCACCAAATTGGCTTAAAAACAAAGGGACAAAATGTTACATCTAGAATTAAAGGTGCTCTGTGGAGTTTTCTTGTAAGCAAGGTTTTTGTTTACATTCAGTGTTACTCAGCAAAATGCATTGTCCGTGTTTTTGAGGTCTAACAAACATGTTGAATGTAGGGCTGTAACGATATATTGCAAGACACTTAAATTGCAATATAAATATGTGAAGATTCGGTGAGATGAAATGAATTGTGATACTGCTTTAAAACATCAGAAGGCGCCATCTATTTTCCTACGTCATTCATGTCAGTAGCTGTGTATCAAGGTGTAAAGACATGGCCCGAAGAAAGTGAGGATTCACCATCCTGTTTAAAATCAGAGGTTATGGCAGCTTTTTGAACTTTTAGGGAAGCCCCTAAGTCAGAAAATGATAAGGGTAAAAACATAACAGACTATTTTCAGTTTCACTTTTACAAAGTAAAGGAAATATCATGCACACAGCCTTCCTAATAAAAAGAGAAAGGAGCAGGAGAAGATATAAGGGAAAATATATTATGCCCATTTTTATCTGAGAAACAAATTCAATTTTTTTTAGTCATAATTCATCTTCAATGTAATTTTGTTACAAAAAATCATATTGTGCATCCACTATGCTGAATTGTATCAAAGTTAGTTGAGTGTATTGTTACATCCCTAGTTGAATGCATGCCTTCCTTATAAAACACTTGCAAAACAAGCATTGTTAACATCCACATTTCTGGGTGCTTTGCTGCCAACAATCGATAAGTACCTATTCAACTACATGGGGATAGGTTTTAATTGTAATAAGATGAATGCAGTGTCATAATTTAGGATACAAAGCATGAGATCACAAGAGAGTCCTTTGGGCAAAATGAGAAGAAGGATGTCCAGATCATGAAGTATCTCTAAGGTAAGATATCTTAGGGAAGTATGGGACGTGAGGTCAACATGGACCAAGACAAAATCATTTCCAGCATCTGGTCAAGGTATCAGTTCTATCAATCAAACTGGATTTAGACTCCCTCTTATCTCTGCAACTCATCAAACAAGTGGAAACGGCTATAGACCTGCTTCCAACTTCGACACAGCAGGCTTCAAAGACATGAGCTCATGGGCAGGAGGCTTCTGTTGGTTGAGGAGGAGGGGGATTAAGTTATCAAATGAAGAGAGGGAGGAGAGTTGAACAAGTTACTCAACCGCAGTGGCCTCTGAACTGGCAACCACGTACTCCTCATTTATCAGTGGCAGGTTAGCCGCTCCCTGCAGGGTTCAAAGGCCGTCACTGTCAGCAGAGACAGCATTCAGCACAAATTATATAAAAAAAACAAAAAAAGTTTAGTCCCGCCCACCTGGTCAGAGAGCAAGGTCACGGCAGAATCATGACAGACCCCCAATCCTGCCCTTTGCTTTCCCCCCGGGTGTCTAGCAACGCACTGCAACATTTATGGCTATCATATAATATGAATGGAACTAGAGCAAAGGGGAAATACTGTAACCTTTTTTTAAGCTAACAAGTTTCATGGTGTGGGGTTTCTAGGTCAGTATTGATGCTTTTGGATTGATGTAAGTTTTAGGTAATACTTTTTTGTGGAAAAAAAAGGCAAGGCTCTATGACCTGGATGGACCTAGACGACTTTATCTTATCCATTTTAAGTAACGAGCCAATATTGGCAAACCGGTATATCGGTCTGACGCTGAAGGACGTCATAAGGGTCCTTTAAAAGCTCCTCTGAATTGCACGTCGATTAGGGCTCAACGCAACCACTGAACCGTGTCAGCTTGAGTGGAGTGTTTAAACTTGGCTGTTTACAGCAGGAGCCAGGGCTCGCTGGCGGTGATTCAGGCCCAGGGAGTAAATTCAAAACCCAAATGAAAAAAGACAATATAATTGGACCTTGACATTTTACAAGGCATACAGGAAGACAGCGAACGGGCAGTGCAGCTTTCAGGCAAGAAATCAAACCTTTACAAAGCAAAAGATCTCAATAACAATTAGTTGCATCACTAAAACATTTTGTCCTCACATTAACGTGAAAGATGGTAAGCTGAAAAGAACTTGTTTCTAGAGGCTGACTCAGATGTTTGCCAAGAACTCCGGTTCCTGCTTCAGCCCACAATATGGAGGCATAACAGATGCTAACACAGCAGTTTTTGTGCGTTTGCTACACCCGTGACTCAGAGGGAACATTTCTTAATTTTTTTTTCTTAAAACATCTCAAAGAAATTGTGCTTATCAGTTTATCAGCAGAGGTCAACAGAGGTTTGCAACAAATTCGAGAATTCGATTATTACTTCAACTTCACGCTACTGATGTAGAAATATTACTATATGACACCCTCAGCACTACACTATGATCTCCCCAAGGAAATAACTCACCAGTATGTAGCATGAAAATCTGTCCAAACTGTGTCTATTTAAGGATCAAGACGAAAACTTCCTTGAGGTGAAACAGAGAAAATACTTCCACTACTACTATTCTGGTCACATTGTGCTTAGGAGATTAAATATGCCGGGTAAGAAAGGTAGACAGCACAGGCTGAGACAGGTGAGTGAACGCTACAGGGGAGTGAAAAGGACTGAAAACATCGTCTGTGGGCTTGAGTCGATCACACACACACACACACACTCTCAAGCTGTGTGGTTGTCTGTCTGCTTGTCTGACTGACTGGTTGAGAGTCTTTGCTACACACACACAAAAATCCACCTTGGTATCAGTCTTTTTCTTTTCTTTTGCTCCTTCTCGCTCCCTAGCGCTCTCTTTGCCTCTATACACAAACAAATCAATCTTCCTTCGACCTGTTGGAGATGAGCTTGGCCAGTGAGAGGCATTCTGAGTGTGATGAATGGGTTGAGGGAGGGTGGAAGGGTTGTTGGAGGATGCATTGGAAGAGCGCAATGGGCAATACGGTGGCGCCTTTTCAGCTGAGAAGGTGCTATTGAACAGCCGTGCTCATTACTAGTAGCTTCTCTGATCCTCCATTCTTTTCTCTGCAACTCCTCGACCACTCGACTTCTTTCTACAACAGATGAAATACCTGTGTTCTCGTCAAAGGATGTAACCCTGCCCTTCCACTCCTACACACCAACTTAAGCATAAAACCAACTGGTGCTGAACACAGGGTCAATAGGGTGTGGATGGGATTGACTACATCATGACTACATTATGACACATTATGACACATTATGGAACCTGAAAAGGGAGGAGAGAGAGGCACAGTTGTAACTCGAGTGTTTTGCAATATGTGCTGAAATGTTGATTCACAGAAATAAAAAGAAAAAGATTGCATCATTCATGAGTGTGCCTTGCTATGCCTACCACATTTCAATTCTAATGTGCTGAGCCACGGGCCAAAATACAATTGAAAATGTGTAACTGTCCAAATATTTATAAATAAGTATATAAGGAATTTGAATGTTGCTGCTCCACTGAAACATTTAAATTAGTGTCAGGTGAATGGTGCTGCTTTGCTTGCACCTGCTACCTGATGGCAGGTTTGTAAATCCCTCTCCTAATTGGGCTTCTGTATTAATGTTCACCTTGAATAACAGACCAAATGCAAAGCACAAGCAAAAGTTAGAAATGGCATTGAGTGCTTTAGCTTGTCAGAGATATTTTGCTTCT